ACATGGGTCTATACAGATAAGTATGTTAGCTAATCAGGTAGACTATATGGGTCTATACAGATAAGTATGTTAGCTAATCAGGTAGACTACATGGGTCTATACAGATAAGTATGTTAGCTAATCAGGTAGACTATACAGATAAGTATGTTAGCTAATCAGGTAGACTACATGGGTCTATACAGATAAGTATGTTAGCTAATCAGGTAGACTACATGGGTATATAAAGATAAGTATGTTAGCTAATCAGGTAGACTATATGGGTCTATACAGATAAGTATGTTAGCTAATCAGGTAGACTATATGGGTCTATACAGATAAGTATGTTAGCTAATCAGCTAGACTAAATGGGTCTATAAAGATAAGTATGTTAGCTAATCAGGTAGACTATATGGGTCTATACAGATAAGTATGTTAGCTAATCAGGTAGACTACATGGGTCTATAAAGATAAGTATGTTAGCTAATCAGGTAGACTATATGGGTCTATACAGATAAGTATGTTAGCTAATCAGCTAGACTAAATGGGTCTATAAAGATAAGTATGTTAGCTAATCAGGTAGACTATATGAGTCTATACAGATAAGTATGTTAGCTAATCAGGTAGACTATATGGGTCTATACAGATAAGTATGTTAGCTAATCAGGTAGACTAAATGGGTCTATAAAGATAAGTATGTTAGCTAATCAGGTAGACTATATGGGTCTATAAAGATAAGTATGTTAGCTAATCAGGTAGACTACATGGGTCTATACAGATAAGTATGTTAGCTAATCAGGTAGACTATATGGGTCTATACAGATAAGTATGTTAGCTAATCAGGTAGACTACAAGTATGTTAGCTCATGATGCGGGCATCGGACATTCACAAAAACCTGGACAAATAACAAGCCGCCATCGTAGCCGCACTGGCAATATCAGTTATATACAACAATGTTGCTGACAGATTGGAAAATTTAAAAAACAATTTAACAATAATGGCAGGAAAATTCTAACCTTTAATAGCTAAAACAAGATTAACAACTTTTCGTCCTTGTATATCATGGTTAACATTAGTTGATCGTATCCAATATTATACAGTTAGTTTCGCGTATCAAAGATTACTGTATAAGAATTCCATCTAGATTGAATTTAAAATCTCTATTAACAATTAATGAACATAGTCAATACGTATTAAATCTTACACGAATCCTCCTATCAATATCAACGTTTCATCTTACTTAAGTATAAAAGGTAAACATGCACATGTTGTCTTATTTTCACAGACTCATCATACAAGGAATCTAAACAATACCATATTTTGCTCAATATTTGCTACAAAAAGATGTGTATCATCTTTGATACTTTCTTCGTTTGTATTTAATTAACCCAATCATTGCCATAATTACGAAAATTAAACACGCTACAGCCGCTACTGTAACCAGCAGAAATAATAACAATTTCTGTTGATTACTACTTGTTGTGGTTATAGTTGTACTTGTTGTGGTTATAGTTGTACTTGTTGTGGTTATAGTTGGCACGTACACCAACGTAGTGAACGCAACATTGGATGGTTTCCCTTGGTTACCATCTGAATCAATTGCCCGAATAGAGAATGCTTGTGTACCATTACTGAGCGTTGTGTTCAATCGTACTACGACCATTTCACGAGATCCGGATATTTGTGGAGACGATAGATTTCCCACAATCAGGTCATCGTTTGTAACCCTCGATGTGTTGTCAACATTGTCGTATAGCTCATCCACATCTGTGGACATTCTCAAATCATATTCTTGAACTGAAATATAAACATGAATGTGTCAGCTCACTTCAAATATATAAACATATTTCGAATATTTGAAATATGTTTGGTATGATTTATATGGACTGAGGTGAATTAAATACATTTAAACAATAAATCGACGCAGGATGATAAACTATACTGGTGATATTTCTGATCGGGCGATGTTGCATTGCTATTATAACAAGGTAATTTTATTATAATGGTGTACAGAGCAGAAAAAAATACAAAAACGACATTCATTTTCTGAACCAGAACCTGAACAAGAACGCAGTAGTACTGACCACTAGAGGCATGCCATTCAGAATTACGTTGTCAAAATATACTTGAATAATGTAAATTCAGATCTGTAGTAATTTATTACGTTCACTCTCACCTATTCCTCTATCATAGTCATCGCCGACAGCTGTCCACCCCAATCTGATAGTTCTATTGTCATATGATTGCTCTTCAATCTTCAGATCTGATATACGGGATGGTGGATATATATCTTTTGGGTTTGTGCCTGGTGGCGGTCCTCCATCCACATCGAATGCACCACCTGAAGATGATCTTGTGAACAGATCTGCCGGCACTGTCGTTGTGTGTACTCCCTGTAGATCTGATACACATGTACTATGAAAATACTCAGAAATAATTATTCGAAATGTATATACATTTTAAGTAATGAACGTATGCAATATGCACATGACCCAGTCCTTAAGGTCTGCCAGGACTGCGAATTATTTGTATGAATAATGATGTTAATATTCCCTACATATACGTGTATTAAATGAGGGAAGTTACTTTCATTATATATATGTTTATATATGCAAAGCAGTTTAAATTTTAATACCTGGTTTCATTGGTAATGCCCCGCTCAACTTTTCATATGACTTGACCATTGCGGTGCCATCTGTGTTTTTAACATTTATTTTCACTCCATATCTGCACGTGGTACTGCACGATGAGAAATCCAGAAAGTATGCTGAATACACGCCATCATTTTTGATGACGTCTCCTCCTGCAATATAATGACTCTTTTGTTTTTATTCATGATCGCATTGTGGTGTACAATATTAAAATACTGATACTGATATTCGTAGTTAAACCGTGTTTAGACAGGGTACATTGGCAATTACCTGCACCATTGTCCAATAACGTTATTACTACTTGACCACTTGGTGTATCAACTGTTGCAGTGACATGGGCACCAATGACGGGAGAATATCCTTTTTTTACTTCCGCCCTTACGACCAGCTGCGGGTCTACGTCATAATTCAATGTAGTTTTGCTCAATCTTCCTACAACTCGGATAGGTTCAACATCTTCATATTGCATACGGGATTCTAGTATTATCTTTATGTTATCTGAGGTGCCAATACTGTTGTAAATAATATACTTCCACATGCCAGCCTGGAAAGTGTAACCATCAATAATTTAAAACAAACTGAAAATTTAATGTCTAATATATCTGAGACGTTTTGTTTAGATACACACTATATCGCCATATGGACATTTCCAAATTGTATTTGTTCATGTCAACCAGCATTGTCTTAGTAGACTTACAACTTGGCTACAATGTGCAAAAAGTTATCAGTTTATGATGAGTATGCATGCATCAAATGTAAATCTCAACATACACACAGAAAGCATTGTAAATCAAATTGCAGACTTTTTAAAATAAAGAAAAAAACGTTGCCCTTTCCGTTAAAACTATTAAACCAAGGTTGTTAAAAAGAACAACTGGCTTCGAAATTCAAGAGTGTTTTTTTAGAACATGATGGTGTATAACAGGTTACAATCTGTATACACCAGAAATTAAAGGAAAAAAGCACGATCTAAACAATTTATCACAATTAAATTCGACAAAAATGCTTATTATTCAAAACTAACATTAGTGTATTATTGTTCTGCGGGGTTTGTGTATATGTATTTTTTTTTAGAGATGTATAACAAAAAGATTGATTACCTCCGCTATGCCTTGTATTTCGATAGCAACCCTACGTTGTTCCACATTGACGACATATCCATTATAGTATTTATCAATCCACGCTCCGGTGGGAGAGAGAAGAGCGACATCCAAAACGGTATTCGGAAATATGAATGAAAATAAAGTTCGATTTCCTAAGCTTGAATCCAAGAACAGTGTATCATTGTAGGTCATCTCACTAGTTGTTAATGAGATCACACTTGAAGACAGCTATTAGAAGAAATATAAACAACGTCTTATATACAGTAGTAGAATGGTTGATAATATAATGGCAGTAAATTATACCGTTTTCCAAAATTTGTATGAACTTACGGTTATTGGTATGGCATCTGAGTTTCCAAGTGGATTTTCATTAATTGTTGCTGCTAACGAATCAATGAAAGCCGTTGAATTGTCATCTTCCGGCACATAGTTATATAAACCGCCTGTATTGCTTGACAATTGTTGGAGAGTACTTTGTGCTGCTTCTGTGAACGCAATTGTGTCTACACGGACACCCGAGTCGTATACCTCTTGCATCACATTCATTAAAAAGGGATAAGTATTTTCTACACCGTCAGTGATAAGTAACAACGATGCCCCCTCTGATGTCACGTTGCCATCTTGTAATACCTAGTGAATTTAAGATGACAGAATATGGCACATTATATTACTATTAAATATGCATATAATCGAGATATACCTTGCGATGGTATATAGCTGGTCGACTTGTTCGTTCGAGTGGTACAATGACAACACTTTTACGCTGCCTATATAAAGTAGTGGGCGTATGTCAAAAAATAGGTTGATTAAGATGATGTAACATACGCTGAAGACAATTACACAAAGATGACTGATAAATAGAATTACGACTACCACTGCTAGCGAAGACGTAAATGTCAACCCTCGATAGGAGTATCTAATGCTGGTTGCAGAGCTCTTTCTCATTTTATCTTGGCGCATCTTTGATATTGTTTTTTCTGATGCGAGACGTGTTTGTATTGTATGTGTGGCTTAGTATAATATAGTAGTGTATTTATTTAGAATTCAAGACAATTTGATTTCAAGGTATGTCTGGCATTATCAATCACGTGTCTCCATTTATAATTGACTAACATTTCATCAAAATTTTGCAAGCTACCCGCCTCACAAATGAAATGTAAGAAAAGCTAGAACTATCCAAAGTATGAAGCTCACGCGGGCAAGCTGAATGAACGTTACGACATTGTAGTACCACAAACTGAATTATCTAGAACAGAAACTGGATATTTTTCAAACGTACTTACGAACAAGTGTAACAATGTGACTTGAGAATACTACACATCACAATCAAGAAAATAGAATCAAAACACAGTTTTGTAGCTGATGTACAGTTGCGTTGGTATAATTCACGCGTCATCGTGATCAAGAGGTAGATCTGTATACTTTATTCTGTGGTGTGAATTTGGGATTATCTCGAACATTTATGTGTCCCTGAGACGTTTTATTTACAATTTGTGAGGTCGTGAGTTGAGAGAAAGCGGAATCTACATTTTGGTTTGGTTGCGCCATGTTTTAATATTTGTTTGCATACATACATGCATGCATAATTAATTAGATTTAACAGTGGTTGTTTCTGCATGGTGGACGGGTATACACGTGATCGCGATCAATCGTAACTAGGTAAAGTTTATTTGAACATTGACTACATAGCTATACAAATCGCCTGTCATGTATGAGATTCGATATGTGCTTAACTATTTACTCGCTGTGAGCGGTGTTTAATGTGACATGTAGGTATCACATCTGTCTGCAGTGGCGTGGCGATACCTTTTGCTGGCCCTTGATTCGCGAGACTAAGTAACGTGATTTTAAATTTCGTTCTACGTAAACGTATCTGTAATACTGCAATGACGCCTTGCCCAGCCAGTTTTCCTGCTTAAACGCCATATTTTAAAAGGTTCAGGAATATATTGCTTCTCTTGTGAAAAGTGATAATAAAATAAACAGTTTTTTGTATTCGCGCAATATTTTATAGTAAAATAAAACCCCTACTATACATATAGAACGTTGGGTAACCAAGAGGAAATATAGCAAAGAATGAGAATATGATCGACCAATCAGAACGCTGGATTCTAAACTAGTTACCGTGCTCTTGTGGCTACTATTGGTGCTCCATGACATTGGTAGCAGCCAACGCGATTGCCGTGATCGTGAATTCCTGTTTCATGTTGTAACATTTGTCTGCATGTATAATTTGTTGTACTATTGTGTTTAGTGACTGAAATGTTAAAGTCAATACAAAAAGCAGTGAAAAAAATAACTATTTTCTGACATAACCTGAAGAGCGAGTCGCACACCACCCCCAATACTAGTTGCCCCATCTGCCTCTTGTGGAACCTTGGATGAAACCTCGCTGCGTTGGTATCCATATTTTAGTTCCGTCATGCTAGCAAGTATAACTGCATAGGATGAGAAACCAACAATTCCCACAAAACTACCATCTTCGATCCTGTTTTCAATGAAATACGTCGCTGACTGATAAAGTCTTTGAATTCGATCTCCCTATGGCATTAAATAAGATTAGATATTAGTAGAAATAAATAAGTTAAAATATAAATCACCAAGTGATAAACAACGTGTTAGTTACAGAAGATAAACAAAACACGTACTAAACAATTTTATTCATTTGTCGCATAAATCTATACCGATCAGATCTACGTGTGCTAACTATGGAGCACATGAATATAGTAACGAAGTACTATAGTTAATGATCTAAATAAGACCAGACGAGATGACAACAAGTATGCTGAAGAAAACATCACACCAAATTGCACCATCATTGAAAAAAAACCTTTAATGTATGCTCAGCTGTGGTCAGTCACCGATCGACAGAACGACTTATGAATCATTATAAAGATAATATTCCCACGGATAACGTCCGAAGAGATCACGTGAATTACTGGCACATGTAGTCTATGATATCAATACATTGCCTGACATGTTGAGTTCGAACTTACATCCATACTGCCAGATGTATCAAGTACCAAGACCACTCGTCGAACTCCGCTCCGTTTAATGATAAAATTAGGAGTCGTATCGTCAATGATTCGAGTAGGGTTGTTACCATCTTTGAAGTCAGTATTCTCTAGCATGACTCCCCATGCACTTTGACCTTCGCAAATTATGTTCTGTCTGTTTGGAGCCATTCTGTTGTGGAAACTATACATATCAGACGGGTCATCATGACAGAATTCCTCAACCTGCAAAGAACAAAGGCCAACACATCCAAACTGTATGGTATCAAATTAATATATGTAAACATGTTGCAATTATGTAATACAGGATTAATTATGACATATGGCATATTATTACATATGTACCGCAGTTTATTTTGATTCGTCCCTGAAATCAAAATCGGTATTTCCAAACCTCATATGCAAATGGGGTCTGAGGACAAGCAAAGTAGTCCCTTCAGGAGTACCGTTTTTTCGGAACATAGCAGAAATAAACAATATTTAGAAGTACAATATTACATGAATATACTTGCCGAGTGAAATGAAATTTGAACAATAGTAATGGTAATTTTAGGCAGTCACTTAATTTGACTAAAACTAATTTGCATATCACCCATACCCAATAATGTTTTCGGTATTTTCACGGTCGATATGCTAATGAACATGGTATTTCCATTGGCTACCAAACTATTTTTATTTTGTAAACACATTTTCGTCTGCTATTTTAGTCCGGTTCAAATCGTCCAGCAACATTTATGGCTTATTAGGTGTACATCACATGGAATACTACAATTTGGAGAACTTAATGTATGTTGACCACCTGGTTACTGAGTTTTATAAACCTTGAAGGGTTCTCGGAAGATCCACCCGCAGCCGGGACCCGCAGTAAAATCAGAGATTAATATGGAGCCGCAACCATCAAAATCGAGATACCAGGAGGTTTCTGCTGGCGACGTTGCGACGTTACTCAGTTCCAAACGCCAAATGAGCAACATTTAACCGGTAACTAAGACTCAGTCATTCCACGGCTAGCAAGCAACATCACAAGCGAAGTTGTAGTGTGCAGCTCAGCGACGATCGATGTCGATGAAAGTCAACCCGTCAGTGGAGTACCGCAGTTGCACGGCATGATTGCTAATGCACAATTCTGTGGAGGTAGTTTTAACTTCAACATAAATTGTATATCATATAGTTGTGCAGTTCAAGTTCTGGTTCTGTTGTGGTCCCAACTAAACGTCCACGAGTTATTTATTCGGACAGTGACTCAGATTAGACGTCTGATTATTTTATTTTCACACAGACAGTGACACGCGTTCTTGGAACATATTAATGGGCAATGGGGTTCCTCGACCTAAATTCCATCCCGGTTGTTGC